TTTCTGAAGCGCCTTCTTATTTAAGTAAAATTCACTCAATGTGAATTAGACGAAAGCAGTGTGACATCATCCACACTTTTCATGATCATAGCCCAACGCTTACGACGTAAATACTTAGGCTTCCACAGAGGTATCTTCTAAGCCAATGAAGCTTAAACACCTAAAACATCACATTAAAATTCCCACACAGGCCTGTAGAAACTCCTGCTTTCACTGTACTCCAAAAAGACCAAGCTTTTCAAAAGGGCATAGAAAGTTGAAAAATCACATCTCACCGGGAGTGAGCAAAGAGGCCTTGGGTGGGGAGGAAACTGAGAGGAAATCAATTTTACTTGCCTCGGCCTTACAATGGATTTTGCAAAGTAAAGGGTAGAAAATCAATCTTGTCAAATCAGTGAGAATTTATACACTTGAAGGAGTCTAAAGGTCTTGGAGGGTGTATTAGGCAGTAGGACGTTCTCTTCCATCACATCATGGAGGATACAGCATGAAGGTTGGACTCTTTTCTGTACCAAGGGAACTGCGCTAAGGGCTTTTGCCATGTTTCTCATCACGTTCCACCCATGGCGGAAGCCAGACCTGAGCGTGACTTCCTCAGTCCCAGCCCAAACACCCTGAAGGGGAGACTGGAGCAGGACACAGAAATCCTAGGAGTACTTGTTCTCGACTCGCCAGAACAAGGCTCCAGACTACGTCTAACAGAAGGTCCCCTTATTCAGCCTCTGACAGTGAGTGCCTCTGACATTTTGGGGCTGCTGGGCCAACTAACAAGACAGACCTCCTGTGGCTATAAAGTAAGTCCATACTTTAAACAAATCAACACAAAATCGATGGTTATTTGCCATTAGCAGGTATGGTAGGCAGAATTCTAAGATGGCCCCCAAGATTCTGGGCCCCTGGTATACATACTCTTTCTCCCAGTTAATCAATTAAACACTAATCTAGGTGCTTATTTGAAGGGATTTTGCAGATGTGATTAAGATTTCAAATCAGATGATCCAGGTAGGTCTGACCTAATCAGGTGAGCCCTTTCCAGCTGACCACAGCAAGATGGAAGACGCACTCCACTTTGCCTGGAAGTGAGCCAGAATCCATGCTTCGAACTTCCTTTGGAGGGGCCACATGGCAAGGAATATGGGGGGTGGTCTCTAGATGCCGAGGGCAGTCCTCAGCTGACAGCTAGCAGGCAAAACAAGGACCCGGGTCCTGCAACCACGAGGAATTGAATTCTGCCAACAACCAGTGATCTTGAGGGAAGACCCCTAGACCCCAGATGAGAACTGTAGCCTTAGCCAACACCTCGATTTCAGCCTTGAGCAGAGAATCCAGTCACGCCGTGCCTGGATTCTGACCTACAGAAACTATGAGCTAATAACTTTGTGTTGCTTTAAGCCACGAAGCTTGTGAAAATTTGTTATGCAGCAATAGAACACTAATACGGCGAGAAAGAGAAGAAGAAAAAACAACATACACAACTAGCAAATCAGCAGCCAGATGATTTTGTTCAAAGCCCGGGCAGCTTCCCCTCCATCCTGCCACATTACAGACAAAGATTTTGTCACTGACAAAGTCAGTACAAAATACTCCCAGTTCAGAAACAAAAACAAAAACAAAAACGAACACAAACACAAACGATCTCATTTGCCACGCTGGGCTTGTTTCCCTGGGAAGGTGTTCTGCACTCACCAGCGTCACTGGCAGGGCAAGGCGGATCTGTCTGCTTCATGGGTCGAGGAAGAGGCTGGGTGATACCAACATAAAGCTGGCACAGCCGCCTGATGTCATGGCAAGACCTCTGACCTACAGACTTGGCTCCACCTCCATTTCCAAGATCTTGGGAAATTAGAGAGGGGGTTTTAGGACCCAGGGACCAGAGCTCTGGGGTTTATTGAAGAAAATAAAAAGCAGATTGTGTAATGGTTAAGAGCTCTCAGGGCTCCTGCATTAAAACCTGGCTTTACCACCTACTGTGTGACTTTTGCAAGTTTCTTCACACTTCTGCACCCCAGTCTGTAAAATGGGGATGACAGAGTCGTGAAGGTTTGAGGTAAGGCTTTTAGATCACTGATGCATGGGGCCCAGCTGTTAGCAAGCCCTCTAAAATGGGAGCGGTTGTTTAGTTGTTTTTAATGCTGACTGGGTCTTATACTCAAGCCCTAATGCTGGGCTTTCATCATATGATGAATGCCCAACCCCATGCCCCAGAATAGACAGCTGAGCACATCTTGATCCTTTGTTTCTGAACCCTAAATGTCTGCTTAATGACTAACCCCACTCCCGCCCAGTACATTGAGTATCAAACCACGCCAATCAGCCCCAATATAAACCCAGAACAAATCAATTGTCCTTCCCTGGCCTCTTCTCGCTTTCTTCATTCATTATAACGTGAATTGTGCTAACAACGTGTACCCACTGGTCAGCGTTTCTACTGGATAAAACCAAGGGAATGTAGTAAACCGACAATATGAGGCTAGGCTACAGTAAATACGTGCTAAGTTCACACTCTAAAAACAAAGTAATTATTTTTAAAAGATGGTTTCACAAGGCTAAAAATTTACATCTCTCATTCGTGAAGGTGGGGGTCTATTAAATGTCACTGAACCAGCTTTAATGATAGAATTTATGAAGTTGTGTCAGATTGTGACGATAAAACATGCAGAGGTATATGCAGCTTATAAATATAACTACATCTAGACTCATAAAAATAGACTTTCTATTTTAATAGAATCTTCTTTCTGAGCATTTCTAAATGAAGCAATTTGAAATTTTCCGAAATTGCAATGAGAGAGGTGGTGGTGGTGCTTTTCTCATTGGCAGAGATGACCATCTATTATCTGGATTTGCAAGTTGGTTATCTGGAATATTCAAGAAGAAAAATATTGTTCTAGTAATTCCCCCGCAGTCCTGGGTTACACTCAGAGGATTTGGCTGAGGAAGATCAAAATAAACAAGAGTCTATCCAATACGTTTTATATGAGAAACCAGGCTATTTTTTAAACTAGTGTCTTCAAGAGAAAAAAAAACTATAGCAAAATGCCTACAGCTCCTTACTCCTTAGCAAATGATTCTTTTGACTAGAGTGTAAGATTCAGAAATTCCATATCTTTGCCTGTCTCGTTCACGGTGGCCACCCTGGTGCCTAGAATAGCGTCTGTCACAGACACAGGCACACGCTCAATATTTCCTGAGAAAACCAATGAATGAAATTAAATGAATTAGCAAGTGGCAGGGTACTATCTAAATTCTGAGCAGTTATAAATGTAAACATGATCAGATCAAGAGGCAAAAAAAGGAACAGGGAGGTAAGGTTCTGTAAAGTCACATTTGAATTTAGGGGGACACTGGAAAAGAAGGAAATCCGGTGTTAGTGGAATTTATCACTACAAAGTTTTCATTCCTGAATGGAAATTTCCAGAGCCTATGCTGTAAACCATCTTACAATGGGTTATTTATGAAGAGCAAGCCTTTTGCTTTAGCATCTGTGTGGCAGCGGCGCCATCTGCTGGGTAACTAGTTTAGCCTTTTAGAAAAATATTCTAGTCTTTCATGTAGCAAATTGAATTTAGAATCACAGAAAATTACGTCGGAAATATCTTCAGAGATCATCTAGGCCCTATGTCATCTTACAGGTAAAGATTTGCCTTAAGTAGGTACGATGTTTTCTTTGTTTCTATTGATGGAACGGAACCCCAAGTTCATCTCTCAGAGAGAAGATGAAAAAGTACAGCCATCGTTACTAAATTATATCAGAAGTTTTACGTAAATCAAAAGCTGAAAGGCAATTAAAATCCACTGGTCAATCTGAAGAGTGTGGTCCAAAAGAAATTTCTTCAAACGAAACCTCTGTAACAGTGGAGCCATAGAACTTTCGGCAATGGTCTATATCTGTGCTGTCCAACACAATAGCCACTAGCCTTGCATAGTTATTAAACATCTGAAATGTAGCTAATGACACTGAGGAACTGGATTTTTTATTTTATCGAATCTTAATTAATTTACATTTTAAAAAGTAGCCACATATGGCTAATGTAGGGTTTCTCAACCTTGGCACTATTGACACTTGGGACCAGATCATTCTTTGTAGTGGGCACTGTCCTGTGCACTGTAGAATGTTTAGCGGCATCCTTGCCCTCCACCCACTAGATGTCAGTAGTACCCTCCCCCACAGTTGTGACAACCAAAAAGGTCTCCAGACATTGTCAAATCTCCCCTAGAGGGCGAAACCGCCCCTAGTTGAGAAGCACTGGCTAGTAACTACTGTGTTGGACAGCAGGGTAGGTTCTAGAATATGCCTGATATGTATATGGGGTTGAGAAAAAGAACTGGCCCCTACACCATACTAGGGCAGTAGTGCTTTTGTCATAAGAACAGGGAAGGTTTAAAAAAAAAGTCGGAGGGAGGGGGGAAGTATAAAGGGGGTCAAATATGTGGTGACAGAAGGAAATCTAACTATGGGAGGTGAACACGCAGCGTAAATATATATGTGCCTGACTGTTAAAGTGTACAGCTGAAACTTACCGGATTTCATTAACCAATGTCACCATAAAAAAATAAATTTAAAAAAAAGACATAGACAAAGAAATGTCTTTTTTTTTTATCTGCTTTCCCATGTAACAGAGATGGGACAAGGACAGTGATACTGGAAAATTCTGCCTCCCTCCAAAATCCCCAGGTTAGCATCAGAAAACCTATACTTGAACCTGATCTTCCCGTCCTCACTGTAGGGAACTGGACAAAATGACCTCCCTGATCTCAGTGTCTCACCTGGAGAAGGGCAGGGATAGTACCCAACTGGTAGGGTTGCTGTGAGTGTTAAATCAGACGATGCGCAAAGCGTTCCTAGCTCAGTGTTTGGCATGTAGTAGATATTCAAAACAATATTCTTTTAACCACACACTTCCAGAGAGGAGAGAAAAAAGTCTTCATGCCTTCCAACCAATAATACAAAAGTACCCAATGTGTTTGCATTGAAAACAAAAATCCAAACGAAAACAACTAGCTGTAGTCTATAAACTGAACTTTATTTTTAAATTCCAGTGGATACAACATTCGGTAAAGGTTTGTCTACCGTTTGACACATTTAAATGTGAAGGAGAAAGCGTTTCAGCTCCTCAGGGAGGAAGAGGCTGGCAATCTTATGATGCTGCTGGACCCCAAAGCACTTCCGGATTCTGAGGCGGCATAACTGCATCAAAGAAGGGGGCCCTAGAGAAAGATAAGACAAAGCCACACATTGGTTTCAGTGATCTAAGACGACTTATTTCTTTCCTTCTTTTAAAGCATATAGGATATAACGTTGTTATAAGGAAATAATATGGTACCGTTTAAGATCATTTTCGTTTTTTTGATAGAAGGCGTTCGTAGGTTACGTTCTCTTTTGTGAACTATCTAATTGAAATGAGTTTGTTAGGTTTTCATTTAGAACGGACTGAAAAATTCAAAGTTTAGTTTCACTAACGGAGGCTTAAGGAAGCTAATTTTGGAACTACTAAGTTACCCTAAATTCCCAATTATGAAAATAAAATTCATGTTTAATGGCTTTCGTGTCTTTTACATTAAAAATAAGGTCCTATTTCTAGATGCAGACATTTGTATTATTTGAGCAATTTTAAGTTATTTAGATATAATGAGCTATCGGTGAATCAGAAGTATGTGTTATCTTAAGGCATATTTGTTTTCATAATCTGCATTCAGAGTTAGCCCAGCGCTTCAATTCATAGGTGAAAAGTGAACTAGCACAAACCTTGCACAGGAGACCAGCCAAGAGTTTACATTTAGGACAGCAGTTCTCAATAGAGGGGAGGGGAGGGGGAAAAGATGGGTATCTTGCTTCCCGGGGACACTTGGCAATGTCTGGAGACACTTTTGGCTGTCACAACTTAGGGGAAGGTGCTATGGCATCTAATGAGTAGAGCCCAGGGATGCTGCTAAACATCCTCCGGTGCACAGGACAGCCTCCAATGGTCCAAAATGTTAAGTAGTGCTGAGGCCGAGAAACCCTGTTATAGGGTAAAATGTTGAAAAACAACTTCCCACCCCCAATCTGCACCAAATTGTAATGGGGATTCTCTTTAGGTTATTAAAACAATTTTCTAAAAGCAAATCTATATACCCCGAAGAACCCCACAAAGTAGTAGCCCTCAGTCCGGACCGTACTTCAGAATAACCTATTAGAGGAGGGCAGCTTTAAACTACAGGAAGTTGGACCCCACCCCAGAGATGTATTGTTGGGTGGGGACCGGATATCTATTTGTCAAAGGCATGTGCCCCAGGTGATTTGCTTGTGCTCCCAGGGTTGAGAATACAACCAAAAGAATACAGTGGCTTCTAAATTCCTACAGTGTCACCAGACGCTACAGGATAAAGTGGGCTGCGTATTTCTCGGGTGATAGAGAACATGGAGAGGTAGGAACAGACACATATATAAAGAAATCAATGCAATAATTTCAATCGGGCCCTCACAGCACATTCAGAAGGCCCCTGTTGGAGTCTAGGGTCCCTTCCAGATTCTATTCAGTGTACTCAAGGCATGTATTAATGAACTGCTTCCAGTGCACTCAGCATATATTTACACTCTACAAAGGTGCTCTGCGGGCAAACAACTTAATCTCGTCTCACTGAGGAACGTTGAAGGATGTGACTAATCATCTGTACTAGATACACTGTCAGGGACAACTGTAGGAGGTACTGATAAAGAATTATGAAGAACAAGACATCAGAACAAGCCTGATGGAGAATTAGGAAAAACAGGACATCAGAGCAATCTCATGCAATGACTGATGCAAACTGAGTTATCTGCTGTTTACCACGAGCAGGATGGTGTATAACAACTGTAGCCTTAATTCCATATAAACAGAGCTGAAAACCCACTACGGAGCTGTAGCAATTTGCCACGCTCAATAATAAAATCAGCTCATTCTATGCTTACGACTTGGCATATTGCTTTGGGTCTTGACTTCTTTTTCTTCCCGAGCAACTCTTGTGATGCTTTAGGGCCAATGTGCGTTCAGGAATGGCTGCTGTCGAGCTGGGCTGAAGGAGTCCTTTTTAGTTTTCATTGTTTGCCGGCAGTAAACATTGCTTTAGATGCTTTTCAAGGGAGTTGGGATGGTACTATTCTTGAACTGATTTCCAGGGACACCCACAGATGGAAATTACTGTGTTAAATCTGTAGGTCTGGCTTTCTGTGCTCGCCTGTCCCCATTTCCCATGGCCTTCCAGCCTGCTGTGAGGTGACGTTACTAAAACCCCAAAAATGACTCGTGGAAGCAGAAGAAGTGGTGGTTCTCCACAATGGCAAATGGCATTTTATAAACCAGTAGGACCACTGGCCACACAGTCATCAAAGTGTGAATTAAAGGCAACACAGGTGTCTAGGAATGGCTTTGGGAAATAAAGTGGGAGGGAAGAGTCCGTGGAGACAATCGGAAAATCCAGCGAGATTATCTGCTGGGGTGGGGACTGGAATGTGTGTGCGTGTGCGTGTGCGTGTGTGTGTGTGTCTATACATATGACTTTATGACTTCAGGGGGCCCTGACGCACTTTTGCCTTTGTGGATTTCTTTCCCAATTCAAAAAACTATTTTACAATTGTGTCGGTGTGAAGACGAATATCATCCAGGTTGAGTTTTATTCAGTTTTCCTTCTTATATTAAAAAGGAATTAAAGTATTGTGCTATCTATGCCTGCTGGAGGAATCGGCCCTGTGTATATAAATAAAATTTTTTGAAAAGAAGACATCTCGAAAACGCAGGTAGACCTGCCTGGGTATTTATCCCACTGCTTAATATAAAGGTTTCTATTAGACTGTTCCTCGCCCAGGGTCAGTGTTCCCCAGCCCAGCCGGCAAGGTATGGAGAGTACAGGCCTTGTGTGGGGGCCTAAGGCAGGGCTTTGGCCGTGAGGACCCTGGGGTGGCGGGAATAAGAGGGAGAAAGAGTCCATGGCCACTTTACAACTGTGCCTAGAGCCAGCCCTAATTCTCAGCATGTGGGGAGAAAATAAGCGATTACAACATGAATCCTTCTGGTAGGGAAGGCTGCTTTCAAGTCCTACGACCCCTAAAACTTAAAGTCCACACTCTGGTAAAAAAAAAAAAAAAATGCAGGTCCTGAGCTGGCTGTGCTCTTCCTCTAGATACATTTAAGAATGCACTGTGAGGGGTCTTTGCTCCCCAGCCCACTACCCGACCTCCACAGCTCAGGGAAGTGTCCCTACTCCCTTGCATGCTGCTCAACCATGAGGTTTAGTTGTCTGGGACAGAAGCATCAGTTCTTATTTATGGAGGAATGTGGACTTAGTGTCGATTAATTTATAATAGTAAATGTTTCCAGGTTGCTGTGAATCATTAATGTAATACCTTACCACGCTTAATTCGTTGCATTCTCACTCCCAGAAACCAAATGCCCAGTAGTTCGGCCCATCTGTAGTGCACCAAGACATCCTGGGGGCACTGTACAACCCCAAAGAGACTTCTGCTACATCATTCTAAAGCACGTTTTAGACAGCATTAATATTAAAATTTTAAAACAATATCTTCATTTTTCTGAAAATAAGCCTACCCCACATATGAATATTAGATCATACAAAACAACCCATCTCCCACATGCCCAACAGCAGGATGGTTATTTACTACATCACCAATGTACCTTGTTGAATGCTACATTATTTCAGCAGCCCACATTTGGTGATGGCAGAATGTGATCTTTTCTATAGGACCAGAAGTCAGAACTCGGTGAGTACCTGCCCCCTGCGAGAACCTGCAGGAGTTTCTATGGGTTAGGGTTTAGGTTTGGGCAAAGGAGAAGTACCTTCATGCTCCACGAAGAATTCGATCAGAGGGCTATTTGAAGGCACCAGCTCCGAGGGACGTTTGCCATCAGCATCCCTGGCCTGGGGATCCGCTCCGAAGTCCATGAGCAGGCGGGCCAGCTCCACATTGGACCCCCTAGCCACCACGTGAAGAGGGGAGTCCAGGCCCCGGCCTCGGTTCACATTTGCTCCTAAACAGTCACAAGAACAGAGAGTCAGCCAAGGAGTAGAATCCAAGCATCCCCCTTCCCAAAGCACTGGACCTCAAAATTCCGCAACGAAAGCACATCCACAGTGGGCACAGCAATTCTCCTGAGAAGACAGAAGATGACTTGATTCCATTTCATAACATGGGGAACATGCCATTTGACAACGTCACCGAATGTACAACATGAGCTATACAGCATATGAGGTTTAAAACTTTGCCCGTGAGTGCTACACATAGGTGTGATACACACAAGAAAAATCCTGGTGGCATAAAAGGTACACATTATTACTGGATCCCTAACGTTAGCCAGTACAGACTGGAAATGAGGCTGGGGTTTAAAACCTGAGACTCGGGACTGGGTGATTGAGACTGTGGAGAGCAATCGCCCTGTGACGGCTTCTCCTAGACTGGGCTGGCCAATCAGGATCACAGGGAAGGTGCCAAAATCTCCCTCTTAGGGAGCAAGGTGGATTTCCAGGGCCATCCCTCCCAATTCTACCTCTACAGTTTCAACAAATCCCTACCCCAGCCTGTATGCCGGCTCCCACTGTGACATGTTGAAACATGTGGCTTTTCCTGAGTTGCTGTCCCTCTAGCAAAATGGAGATCTCTGCCTACTCAACAAATGGTAACTGTATTGTTCCTGGCTTTGCGAGGAATGCCAAACCTGGCCCTTTCCTGACTAGGAGCTTAAAATATACCGAGGACCATGAGAGAGGAGGGGGCGGGAGGGAGGAAGAGAGAGAGAATATGAATGAAAATGAATCTAAATGAATGAACGTGAATCTCCTACCAGATGAGTAGAAGGCAAGAAATATAAGAACATTCGGGGGAGGAAAGATTATTGGAATTTTAAAGGCTAAACGAGACTCAGATAATTAAAGAGGTGATGAAATGGTGTTCCAAGTTTTGAAGAGGGGACCGGACGACAGTAGGGAGGTGAAAAAGAATGATGTTACATAAGCTTTTTCAAAAATAATATAATATTTACAATGGGCTGAAAATGGGGCAAGTTCAATTTCAAAAACAAAGAGAACTAGTGAAGACTCAGCCTTAGTCCAGCAGCTTTGGGAGTTATGCAGGGCCTAATAATATGATTGGCCGGAGGGACGGAGGGAGAGGAAAGGGAAGAGAAAGTGATCTTCATCAAGGACCACCCCAGGGGGAAACATTACTATCATCACCATCATTATCCCTATTACAGGTGAAAGTGCTAAAGTTCGCACAGTTTACAAGAATTCCTCATGGGAGCACAGCCAGAATGAACCCTGACCTTGTCTGACTCCACTGCCCACATTCTTCCCTCACTTATCAAAGAAAGAGCTTTAAAATACATTTAATTTACTTCTCCTTTGCTTTCCTTGTTTCATTTTGCTTTCGGTTTTACCTGAATCCAGAAGCTTCTTGACGCAGTCAATATGCTCGTTTTCACAAGCCAAGTACAGGGGAGTGCCCAGGTGGCCAATGTTATGGTCGAAGTCGCCCCCATGAGCTGCAAGGGACTCGATGCACTTCAGGTGGCCTGCAGCCCAAAGCAATAGAAAATAGTTACAGCACAAGTTGTCTTAGCTAGAGAAACACCATCTTCCCCATTTTGATTAAATCTGCCAGCAACTTATCCAGGGGACCAAAAGCTATTTCCTTTGCTTCGAACAGGGAATGATTTGAAACACCGCCATCAGTTAATGGGTTGACCATACATGTGATCTGCAGTTCTGGGTAGAACAGCACTGCGTTTACTTGCCACGGTAAGCAAATAAGTACTCGCCCTTTCCAATTGTTCGGACTTTGTAATCAGTCCACATACAGAAATGGAACTGACAGCTGGGGGACATATGGAGGAACACGGACTAAAGGTAGATCTCAAGAAGAAAAGGCACAGTGTGGGTCAAGGGACAGGGAAACTAACTTACAACCTCACCCAGGACGAGCCTTGGGAGAAACAGGCCACAGTGGGCACAGGCGAGGCTTAGAAGAAGCTGCCAAATGCGACGTGAGCGGGACCCAGTCTGGCAAAGTAGGTTCAATGAAAGCTGAATCACTCTTCCCTGGTCTAGAATGTCATACGTTAAACATTACTCCTTTGCATTTCTCTTGTTATACCATTTAATTCGTGTATTCAGCGAATGTGACGAATTAGCATGTCTCTTAATGAATACATGTCAATGCTTCAAGAGAGAATTATAATATGGGCTGCTGTAAGGATCATAGGAAGCCATTTTGTGAATGCCACTGGAGAAAAAGAAAGCCCTCTGGCAAGGTATGGTGATGATGATGATGGAGGAGGAGGAAGAGGAGGCGGAGGAGGAGGAGGAGGGTGGCGGCATTGGAGAAAAGCAAAACTTAGAATTTTATTTTTTGTTTCAGGGTTAAGAATATCAGAAAAAAATGTGACTTTAAAAAAGAATTAACCCACATGAATAAGTTCTGTGTACCACACGGTGACTACAATTAATACTACTGAACTGTGTACTTGAAATTTGCTAAGAGAGGTGATCTTAAGTGTTCTCACCACAAAAAAACAAAATACACAAAAAATGGTAACTGTGTGAAGTGATGGATGTGTTAATTAACTTCACTGTGGTAATCATTTCACAGTATA